ATTTTGAGGGAGGAATTCCCTCACCCCAGTCTCGGGGTTCGCCTGTATGTAAACTTTGAAGAGCCCTCTATCCAGGATCTCTTCCTTTGCTTGTTGAGGAACAGGCGGCAGATCAGATCCGCCTGTTAGGTAAGGTGGATCTCTGTTCTACCTGTTGTACTTCTTGTTCTTGACCTTATTAGGGTGGGAGACTATGTAGAAGGTGTTCCTCCAATCCTTCCACTTGTTCTCCTTTCCCATGGTCATCATGTAGCCTTTATGGCTAGATAGTTGGTACCAGCCGGTACCGCTTGTTTTTGGGGTCCGACTAAGGTAGTTCATATGAGAAAAAGCTTCAAAGCTTGGCTCTACCCCATACATCTCGCAGCCAGCAACATAGCCCAAGATGTTGAACCATGAGTTTGGGGCCAGTTGCCAGACACCCAGCTGGTACCCATCCAAAATCCTCTCTACAGCTGGATGTAGAGGAAATATTAAACCAGCTTTAATGGCCACCTCATAGCAGCCAAAACACTCGTCCCTGTAGCTGGACGACTCTGGCCAGACTACCGTATCCTCGGCATCCGACACTGTTAGAATGTAACCATGACCATTACATGGTCAGCCCTAAAACTCCCTATTTTTTCAGACATGGCCTTGCGCTTGCCTTTAGGAACATGGCAAAAGTATGGGGTATACATTTCCCTTTGGGTGGCAGCCGGCTCTGCCCATCTCTCCCCTTTTTCCACCTCATGGCTCTCTCTCGCTGTATGTAGCCTAGAGTGCTTCTCCTCCGAGTCGCCAAAGTGCTGACTAGAGGTGCTGGGCTCATAGTCGTTGCTCGATCTCTCGGGCAAAGCAGTCGCCTGCCCGGATAGATCAATGATAAGAGGCTCATTCTGAACCTCCTCCCCTGATTCTGCCAAAATAGAATCACTTGGGGTGCTAGGGACGCCTGTCGGCACGTCCGAGATCTCGCTAATGGGCGCGTAGAATGAGGAGCCGTCTGAATTTGTTATCCTAGTCGTTCTCTTTGTTCTGGCCATGGTGTCCTGCACAGACACATAGACAGTCGGACTCTGGGCAATTCGCAAAGGGTGGTCCAGCATGGGGCAGGCGGCACTCCTAGTTTTAGATTCAGCAGTCCCCGGTGACCGGCTGATCACTAACCTAGGTCGTGCCGGGTGCTTTTGGGCTACCATTTTTGAAAACAGAAAAAATAAAGAGAAAGTGCAAAAGGGAACAGGCAGTTACCTTTGAGTAGGGAAGTCTTGGAACCTTTGAAAAACTAATTAAGCAGCTGAAGAAGCAGGCGGTCTGGGAACAGGCGGTCTGTAAACAAGCGGCAGTCCTCCAAATAGTCAGAGCAGGCGTCCAAAGTTCTGTCTTAAAAAGTTTCTAGAATGTCCACATGATTTGGACACCCCCTATTTATACAGGGGAATTTCAAGGGTAAAAAAAAAACGGTAAAAACCGTTAGCCAATCATGGCGTGACACTTGTCACAGGCGCCACGAACTAGTAGAAAATAGGTAATGGGAAGCCACTAATTGGAAGCGGGTATTGAAATCCGCTTCCAATTCTATAAAAAAACCCGGCAAAAAAAAAAAACAAAAAGCAGAAGAAATTGGAAGCAGTTTGGGTTGAACCGCTTCCTTAAAAAAAAAATCGGCTTCTTTCATATAAATACACGCCCATCATATTTTCTCTCTCCTCCTCTCCATTTTCCCTCACGCCCCTCATACTTTCTCTCTCCTCCTCTCCATTTTCTCACTTTCATTTGAGCTCCTTCACGCATCTCTCGCTCCTTCCTCCTCTCCGTTCTCTTTCTCTCTCCTCCTCTTCATCTTCTTCACGCCATTTTCATCACCTTCTCACCGAGCAGACCCACGACCCCACCACTGAGCACCAACAACACAACACAAACAACGCCGACGAGGCGAAGAACCACCGACGAGGCGAAGAACCAACAACACTGACGAGGCGTTTTTCAAATCGAATTATAATTAAAGTAAGAATTTAGATCTAGTTTTTTTTTTTTTTTTTTCCAATTTCATCTTTTATATGAATTTCTGAACTATTAGGTTATGTTAGATTGCTGTAAATTGGTTAGATTTATGGTTTATTTGCATTTTTTAAGTTGAAATTTTGTTAGGGTTTGTAAATTTATTGATGTGTTAATGAATTTTTTTAATTTATTTGCATAATTAGTAAACTTTTGACTTAATTTTTTTTTAAAGGTTGTTCGTTGCGGTGGTGGTGGCAGAATTGCAGTGGTTGCGGTGGCGGTGGCAGGATGATGGTGGTTTTGGTGGTATTCACTAGGTTTTTTTATGTTGTCCGTTGAGGTAGTGGTGGTCGAATGGTGGTGGTTGCGGTGGCAGAATAGCTGTGGTTTCGGTGGTGTGTAGTAGCTTTAATTCTTTTTTTTTTTAATTAAAATGTAATTTTACAAGTAATTATTAATGAAATTTTATATTTTGTTACATATGTTTCATTTTTATCAATTTCTGATTTTTTGTGATTTTTTTTTATTTTTTATTTTTTATTTATAATTTGAAGGCATAATTGGAAGCGGTTCAGGCATTGAACCGCTTCCCATTCCCTTCAAATGGGAAGCATTTCAAACCGCTTCCAATTTTAATTGGCAATGGGAAGCCCCCTAATTGGAAGCGGTTCAAAAACCGCTTCCCATTACGGTTTTGAACCGCTTCCAATTTAGTTTATTCTACTAGTGACGTGGCATGTCACGTCACCCCTGTGAAGGGCAAATGATAAGGGGATTTTTCCCTGCAACGTGGACCACTCAAATCCTACCACGTGTCATCCACGTGGACCAATCAAAGTCCGCCACGTGTCACCTCGTGAGAGGTCCAAGGTGGACCAATCAGGCCTTGACACGTGGCAGACAGATAGCCAACCAGGAAAGCTGGCCTCTTACGGCCCAAAGTTCCAGGAAAAGCCCAATCAGCCCTAGGTTTACTGAAACCTAGTATTGGGCACGTTTTCCAACACTCTATAAAAGGGAGATGTTTCCCTCTGAGGAACATCTATTCAGAAATATTCAATTCACATTAACTCTCCATCAGAGAAAGTCAGGCATCTGACATCTCGAACTGAGCAATTACACATTGCAGATTCTCTCTTGGAATTCGAGAGAGACCCTTTACTTTTCGCACTTCACGTTCTAACTTGATCGTCTAAGGCGGAACTCCCACCCACTGGAGTCTCCGTTGTTTTGCAGATACAGGCGTCTAGAAGTCAGTCTTAGAATTGTAACTCTCCCGAAGGACATCAAAAAACCCCGAAACAATAATGATAGTTTCACTTTATTGTCTAAAACCCACGGCATGATTTGGAAACAATCCTGTCCTAATACTTCACCTTAAAATGGGAAAGCAGAATATATGATTAGGACCATAAATGAGATATGTCGTTCCCTTTTGTTTCATGCATCTCTCCCTCCTTCCTTTTGGGTTGAATCATTACATACGACCGCCTATTTTCTCAATATTAGGCCTACTCGAGTTCTTGATAATCTTACTCCAATGCACATTCTTTATAATAAAGCTCCTTCATATGAGCATATTCGTACTTTTGGTTGTCTTTGTTATCCTAATCTCTCCGCCACTTCTCAAAATAAAATGAGTCCTCGGTCTACTCCTTGCATTTTTCTTGGCTATCCCTTGTCTCTCGTGGGTATCGGTGTTTTGATCTAAACACTAAGAAAGTTATCATTTCTAGGCATGTTATTTTTGACGAGTCTGTCTTCCCATATTCATCAAAATACAAGCCGAATTCTACTGATTATGACTTCTTACTACCTGGTGTTGAGTCCAGTCTTCCTCCTCCTCTTATGCAAGTTGTCAGCCCGGCCCAAGCCCAAAACCCTGAGCCCAACTCTTCTTCTCCATTGTGTAGTGGGCATAATAGCCTGCTGGGATTAGGTGGGCCTGTTCAATCAGCCACAAGATCACATCAGCCTACCGCACACATGTGTTTTCTGCTTCCCCAGCCCACGCCCGCACTCCTCCCTCTCTTGGTAGTCTAGTGGGCCGTCTCTCACAAGATCCCAGCACCACTCCAGTCCACTTTCCACCTATTTCTGATTTACCAAACCATCCTCCACCAATCCAACCCCGCCAATACATGCAAACTCGTTCGAAATCTGGGATTTTTAAGCCCAATTCAAAATATGCAAGTTTGGCACTTACTACTTCCTCTATTCCTTAAATTTCTCCTATTCCTCGGTCGCCTGTGAACGCCCTCAACGATCCTAACTGGTATAATGCAATGTGTGATGAGTACAATGTCATGATTGATACTCATACTTGGGATTTGGTTCCGCGTCCCTCGGATGCAAATGTTATTCGTTGTTTATGGATTTTTACTTATAAGGAGAAGTCTAATGGTGATTTTGAGCGTCATAAGGCATGGTTGGTTGCTAATGGTAAAAGTCAGGAGATAGGTATTGAGACCACATGGATACGTAACTTGCTGTTAGAGTTGCATTGTCCGTTACGTATGGCAACGGTGGTTTATTGTGATAACATTAGTGCGGTCTATATGTCTCGTAACCCGATTCATCATCAACGCACTAAGCATGTGGAGATGGATATACACTTTGTTCGTGAGAAAGTTGCACTTGGTCATATTCGTGTACTCCATGTGCTCTCTTCTTATCAATATGCAGATATCTTCACCAAGGGTCTTCCAACACCGTTGTTTGTGGAATTTCGTTCCAGTTTGAGCATTCGTCCTCCTCTCGCTCCAACTGAGGGGGTGTGTTAGACAATATTTATGTGAATAATATTGTTCATATTTAGCCCAATGTAATTATGTAAAGTAGGTTAATCTTATACCCTATATATATATTGTTAATAGTAATACATGACTCCTAGGGGAGAATTCCATCATTCTACCGGTTGGTAGAATTAGCTATACTAAAGCCCTTTTATCTCTTTCCCATTTTTCTCCTTACTCCATTCCAACAATAGATAATTAAGGTCTATCAGCTTTGTAACTCTTTTATGAGGGGTCTGGATTAAACTTTAATGTGTGGCTATAACCAAACTTTTGCTTAAATAAAAATAAAAAAATAAAACCTTAACGTTTTTTTTCTTTACATACAGTGTCTGTGATTATTCATCCATATTTTAAACCCCTCAAATGGGAAACACAGTCTCACATAAATTATTTACAATTCTCTATCTTCTCCATATTTTAACCCCAATTTTGCATGCAGCTTCACCCAAAATCGTCAAATCTGTACCTGGATTTCCCGGCATTCTCCCATTTTATCTTGAAACTGGGTATTTCATTTGTTTTATTGGGTTTTTTTATAATTATTTTTGGCCTTATTTTGGTTAAATTGTGGGTTTATAATGAAAAGTGAAAAAATTGCAGATATGTTGGGGTGGGAGATAATGAAGAAGTTCAATTATTTTATTACTTCATAAAATCGGAGAGAGATTATGAAAGAGACCCACTTATGGTCTGGCTTACTGGAGGCCCTGGTTGTTCTGCTCTTTCTGGTCTTGTTCTTGAGATTGGTATGTTGCTAATTTCATTCCTCCGTACTAACATACATATTCTAAAGGTATATACTAACTATATACTCTGAATTTTGCTTAATTTTTGTGAGTTGTCGAATACTGTTCGAGAAGTGATTGGTTTTATAATTTCAGTAAAAAAAAACAGGGCCTTAATTTTGTCATAAATGAAAATAAGTTTTTTAAACTTTTTTTTTTTTTTTTTTTTTTTGAACAATAAATGAAAATAAGTTGATTAAGGGGCTATTATTATTTTTTATTTTTCAATTTTACCACCACCAAAATCAACCACCTTTATCTCTCCTCCTCCCCCTTCCCTTCGCAACCTGTGTTATTTGGACTCTTCATTCACTTCAAATACTCATGTCAGACTCAACTCGGACGTGGTTACTACACAATGACACTTCATTTAAGTTCAAAATCAAGGAAAATTATAACGAAATAGCCAGGTGTCGGACATGGGTACCCGAGGATGAAGTAGTAATGTAGTATAGTTATGTATTTGCAAATACATAACAATAATTAAAATAATCTAAAAGCACGTGGTAGAGAGAGAAAAGAGAAGAGATATAGGAAGAGAGAGGTATGTAAGTGGACCCCACTTATTTTTTTTGTCAGATTGCCATCACGTGATGGGGATCGCATTCTAATTGTTCCATTGGAAGCTTATATAATACCATTGAATATTCAGTGATACCATTGATGCATAAATTTAGTACCATTGCATTCATAACGTGATGCTTTTTTTTTTTTTTTTTTGGTGATGTACCTTTGACATTTGTTGCTTATAATCCCAACTCATAGCATAAATCGCCAATAGTAATGCCAACACATGTGCCGGAGGCAAACTCATAGCATTGTTGGGATTATTAGATAATAAACCTTAATTGGGATTATTAGAAGTAAATCGCCAATAGTTGGGATTATTAAAGTGTATTTTTCTTAGAATATATGAATAATGCATAATTTGAAGTGTTTCAAGTATAAAGAAATGGAGGAAGTATTATTTTTGTTTATCTAACAGAATGACATATTTGTTGCATTTTTGAACTTTTTCAGAGAACAATATCGATAGAAACTATCTATATGCTAGCAAGCCTTTTTGCATCTTCATCATATACGAATTAAGCACCCAAATGGTTGCTACAACTTAGAATTGAATTAATATATTACATAATTGGAGAATCATGAAAATACCCTTTGGTGTTTGGTTCGTAGAGTGGTGGGTTTGGAATCAAGAATTAGATGAGGTATGAACTTTGATGGAGCTTGTTACTTAATATTTTGTGCTTGTTTTGTCCAGAAATGAACATTTTCCTTCTATTTGATACCTGAAGGTATTATATAAACTATACCTATCTCCCCCTAGGGTTACTAAATCTCATACCTTGTGGGTTTGAGGTATAGGTTTGGAAGTTGATATTTTGTTAAACAAACACAACGTATAGGTTTTACTCATTTTAAACCTATACCTTATACCTAAATTGCTTGAACCAAACACCCCCCTTAATATCATCTTCAGTTTGAGTGATAATCTCCTCCCTTTGTTATTGTAGATTTATAGCTCATTTCAAGAAGTGCACAATACTGTGAGAGATTGGGAGATAAAATCAACTTTAAGAAAATGGTTAGAATAGATAAGGTCACTAATCACTATATTATGAAGATAAGGTTCATAGGTTGCATGCACAAGTATATGGTTATACTGATGTGATCTGTTTTTTTTTCTTTTTTTTTAAAGTTTACACCTGTTGTGAAAAATATAGTTATCAAAGTATGGAAGATATTGTAATTACAAACTTTTTATTTTATTATACTACACATGTTATTTTATGTTTTTGATGTATCTTACTTTTAAACAAACTTATGCCCTTAGTAATGAAATTGAAGTCTCTCTGCAGGTCCTCTGATTTTCAATACTTCAGCTTGCAATTGGCACTCAGAAGCACCAACATTTCAGTTAAATCCATCTTCTTGGACAAAGGTACAAGAATTTGTTTTAATAATATCTTGTTAAATTATATCAAAAGTAGTAGCTCTCATAAGTCATAAATTAATTTGACTCAGATATCTGTAGCTCCATTTGTAAAAGCAAGACTGTAGCATGAGAATGTTAAGATTAGAATTGGAAGATAAATGAATTGTGAATTTGTGACTATACTAAGACGAATTTATTGTATTTGATGTTCAGATAGCTAACATAATATTTCTGGATTCACCTGTTGGCACGGGATTTTCTTATGCAACAAATCCAGAAGGTTACTACAGTGATGATATTACATCATCAAGGCATATTTATCAATTCTTGAGAAAGGTAAGGTAAGGCATATTTGTCAAAAACCTTTCATCATGAAAACTCCTATTTGTCATTAGTGGAGTAAAATTCAGGTTAACTTTTAAATTAAATTGCATCCCTAAGCTTATTAACATTGTTGTACCTGACATTTGACAAACTAATGTTATTCTTTATTTGCTCCAAAAGCTCAACAGCCTCACACTAATTCCATCTAATATATTTCTTAGAATTAAGTGTTTACTTCATTATTTATCTGGATCTATTTTTTGTGGCTAGCTTTCCTTTCTCTTTTAGCTAGAGCATTTATTTTACTGGGAAAACAGGAAACTTTCCCAAGTTAAAATACTGGAAACTAGTTACTATATGAGTCATAGGGCACAATTACAGAGTATAAAAAGATAAACTAGCATTAAAATAACAAAGAGCCCCCCTACATCTCATTCTTTGCTCTTTGGCATCGACAAATACAATTTTTATTAAAGCAGAATCTCACAAAGCGGCTGCTTTGTAGTCTACCAGATTAGGATAAAAGGTACAAGAACTGTAATCGAAATTTTGAATTTTGCTCCATATCAATGTACTATTGACATGTTTCTCCTTTTTTATTTATTTATATTTTTTTTTCTTTTTCCTAGAAAATGAAGTTGTTTTAGGTCTGGTTTCTTTCTGTACATGTCAATAGAACTTCTAGGTTCACCATGATGATACAGTGCAGCCTTGCATTAGTTGCATATATTTCTTGAGAGAAACACCACAGGAAAACAAAGTCATCAAATGCTTGCGCTATTTGCAGCCTGCATCAATGTTCGGAATTGGCTAATTTTGTGTGCAATGTAAGCCAGGAATAGGTTTATAATCTCTACATTCCATGACGGATTGATGCTTCTGATGATCCGTCATCATATAGTTTAGGCATTGTTGATTGGAAACATCTCTCTATTAAACCTATAACATGCATCTGTTAGTACGAAAAATCTGTGCTTGTGAACACTTATCTAATAAACTTTAGTGTTTTTAAATATTGCACTAGATAGTTCGGTGAACACTCCAAAGTCTATTGAAGTGTATATACCATGGACACTAATGTGAATCGTGTGAGCTAGGTTAGCCTGATTCATATTGGTTGTTGAAAAAAATTTAACCTATACCCCTTCTCCTTTAACTTTTTAAAATTCAACCAATCAAGTTTGATGGCGGGCAACTCATCTTGTGGCTTTGAGGTCACAAGCTGGAGCTGTAGTGCTTGACCATCTATTTGTTGATTTTGTACTTCGGTGGGGATTTCCTTACCTTTCCCCCTCCTCTAAAGCATTTACATGTTTAACTGCAATAATTTATATGTAAGAGATTCTAGTAAAGTAGGGTCCATCTTACAGTAACTCAAAGTTTTATATCTCATGATAATGCATGGGCACATTCTTGTTCATGAGTAAACCTAACCAATTCATCTTAATTCCTCAATTCATTTAAACATAGATCAATGTTACTTCTAAATTTTAATTTCTATGTTATTCATTGTAGGTTGTATGAAAGCCTTTATTATCTCTTTCTAATTTTTTCCCCACTCCGTTATAACAATATATAAGGTCTATTATCTATGTAAATCATTTATTAGGGGTTTTGACTAAAATTTTATCTGATGTCATTTCTTTTTGGTTGCATATAGTGGCTTATGGACCATGATGGATTCATGAATAATCTTCTTTTCATTTCTGGTGATTCCTATTGTGGCAAGATTGTTCCTGTTGTTGTCCAAGACATTTCTAATGGTAATTTTACATCAAATTTGGCATGATTTTCATCTACTATAACTATTAAAGGGAAAAAAAAAACCTCAATTTTCGGGATAAAAGGACATCTGCCTAGCATTGGCAAAGATGGGAAAACCATTCCCAACTGTTGTATTAAATGAAGGTGCAGCCAAACTGAAAGATGTGGACGTTATGGCATGTTGGCATTGTCCATGGGGTTTTTGGGTTGAGGGGGATATCGTAATCGATAATTCTACAATTGGTTTTTATTTTTCCTAGCATTTAGGGAAAAAGAAAAAAGTCATCTTGTTTCCCTTTCATTGTGAACTAAAATAACCCTTTATCGTAGTTTAGGCAAAGAATGGGAATCAATTGCCAAGGGTATTAATAAGAATCGATTTAAGAATCAATCATCATGACATG